GGGGGGGGGGGGGGCTGGATTTGTCTCATTGTATCAATATGGATTTTCGGATCTCTTAAAGCTTTAAAGAGACCCTGTCACCACTTCAACAAACATCTTTCATAAGGTTATATGTGCATTTTACATATTCTAAGCATGTTTTTTTTTTACCTGTGGGACCATTGCTGGGAGCCGCCATCTTGGATTTGATGTCAGCAGACCCAGAGCTGTCAGTCATGTCAAAGCCCATCCCTCCCCCCATTTCTGGAAGTGTATAATTACCCTCCGTGCTGAGCCGGCTCCTCTGCCCCTCCCTTCATCTCCCTACATAACGTTATATGTAGTTGCCAGGGAAGGGGATATACTATAGAGCAGAGGTAGGCAAACACTGGCCCTCAGGCTTCCGCAAAACTACAGATCCCGTCATGCCTGTGGCTGTCAGTCTTGCATTGCCTAATGGGGTTTGTAGCAGGAGGGCCGGAGTTTGCGCAACCCTTGTTCTGTAGTATTTCCCCTCCACCCCTTCCCTGGCAGCTACAAAAACGGGGAGGGGCAGAGGAGCTGGGCCAGCACAGATGGAAGGGAAGAGGGCTATGACGTGCAAGGAGGTGAGGGGCCGGGCTAGGGAATTGACCTTTCCTGGAGTAGTCAGATTTGCAATTAAGTTCAAAGACACATTGTAAGTGAATAAAAACTAATGTATGGAAAGGAAAAATGCAACAAAATAGGGGGAGTTATGCACATATCAGAATACAATGATGGGTGGATGTCAGTCTGGGGGAGTGGGCGTTCCTAAACATGTGATATTTGCATATAGACTAGTTAACGCCCACCTATGATGCTGAGCCTCCATGATTCAAAGAACTGAGATCCAGGGAAAGTCAGGCTGGGGAGGAAAGGACTAGATGATGCCAGGAAAGGAGGCGGGCTCTATCTGACTTGCTGCAACTTCTAATGCAGATTGTGAGAAGCTCCCAGTGTGCAGTGACATCAGAGGAAGAGGAGAGGAGCTGCTACAACTGTGCAACACTGAAGGGAAGGACGGAGGTCAGATAGAAGACTGAAGGGGAGGATGGAAGTCACATAGAAGACTGAAGGGGAGGACGGAGGTCAGATAGAAGACTGAAGGGGAGGATGGAAGTCACATAGAAGACTGAAGGGGAGGACGGAGGTCAGATAGAAGACTGAAGGGGAGGATGGAAGTCACATAGAAGACTGAAGGGGAGGACGGAGGTCAGATAGAAGACTGAAGGGGAGGATGGAAGTCACATAGAAGACTGAAGGGGAGGACGGAGGTCAGATAGAAGACTGAAGGGGAGGATGGAAGTCACATAGAAGACTGAAGGGGAGGACGGAGGTCAGATAGAAGACTGAAGGGGAGGATGGAAGTCACATAGAAGACTGAAGGGGAGGACGGAGGTCAGATAGAAGACTGAAGGGGAGGATGGAAGTCACATAGAAGACTGAAGGGGAGGACGGAGGTCAGATAGAAGACTGAAGGGGAGGATGGAAGTCACATAGAAGACTGAAGGGGAGGACGGAGGTCAGATAGAAGACTGAAGGGGAGGATGGAAGTCACATAGAAGACTGAAGGGGAGGACGGAGGTCAGATAGAAGACTGAAGGGGAGGATGGAAGTCACATAGAAGACTGAAGGGGAGGACGGAGGTCAGATAGAAGACTGAAGGGGAGGATGGAAGTCACATAGAAGACTGAAGGGGAGGACGGAGGTCAGATAGAAGACTGAAGGGGAGGATGGAAGTCACATAGAAGACTGAAGGGGAGGACGGAGGTCAGATAGAAGACTGAAGGGGAGGATGGAAGTCACATAGAAGACTGAAGGGGAGGACGGAGGTCAGATAGAAGACTGAAGGGGAGGATGGAAGTCACATAGAAGACTGAAGGGGAGGACGGAGGTCAGATAGAAGACTGAAGGGGAGGATGGAAGTCACATAGAAGACTGAAGGGGAGGACGGAGGTCAGATAGAAGACTGAAGGGGAGGATGGAAGTCACATAGAAGACTGAAGGGGAGGACGGAGGTCAGATAGAAGACTGAAGGGGAGGATGGAAGTCACATAGAAGACTGAAGGGGAGGACGGAGGTCAGATAGAAGACTGAAGGGGAGGATGGAAGTCACATAGAAGACTGAAGGGGAGGACGGAGGTCAGATAGAAGACTGAAGGGGAGGATGGAAGTCACATAGAAGACTGAAGGGGAGGACGGAGGTCAGATAGAAGACTGAAGGGGAGGATGGAAGTCACATAGAAGACTGAAGGGGAGGACGGAGGTCAGATAGAAGACTGAAGGGGAGGATGGAAGTCACATAGAAGACTGAAGGGGAGGACGGAGGTCAGATAGAAGACTGAAGGGGAGGATGGAAGTCACATAGAAGACTGAAGGGGAGGACGGAGGTCAGCTATTTGTTGAATTCTTATTGGTTGCTATGGGTTAAAACACCTGGCAGACTTTTTAATTGTTGAATATTTTTGTAACATTTAGTGATGACATCATTGATCACTCGGCTGGTCTCGGTGACGCGGAGAGGTCGGCTTTCCTGCGTTTTGTGACCGTTTGCCTTTATTTTGGGAAATACCCATTTTTAGCACCGGTTGGTTCGGACGGAAAGTCCCCGTTTTATAAATAATTCTGTTACTTGTTTGTTTCCTGGAAGTTCTAT